ATGTCAGATAGTGGGGACAGTTGTTATTTCTGCTCTTTGGGTGAGGAAAGGAAGGCGTAGGCAGTGGGAAGAGCAGAGCAGCAACTGGTCGTGCAACCAACTCAGAGCCTCTCGCTTTAAATCTTGTCCAGGGGCAGCAGCTCCGGTCGCTCTTAATTTCAGTTCAGGTGCCATTCTGGATCTTGGGATTTGCTTATAAGTAACTACCAAATGTTTTATTGTATGGACTTGGGTTACCTGTAATGACAGTGCTGACACAGAAGACTTAACGCCAGTATGTTGAATTCTCTAGGATGAAATATAATACTTAGGATGTAGGGAACTGCCGCCATCAGGGCCCAGACAGAACTATCTGAGTGTGCTATATTTAGCATATGGTACACTGATACTCTGTCCTCATAAAAGTGAACCGTGTCATGAGTGAAACGCCACTTAATGTGGCAAAATGCTTGTTTTTCAGAAATGTATTGCATGAGAAGCTTGTTGGAGAAGAGAAAGCCTTATTGATATGTCTGTTTTGGAAGGTTTATATTTCACAGCACCCTTTCTTTCCTTTAGGTAGACAAATACTTAATGACAAAACCATCTGGAAAAAATCAACTTGACATTGGGTAAAGGAGTTCACAAAAATGCAGGCAGTTTTGCTCTTGTCAAAGGGTGTAAAGGTTTAGCTCTGGGTTTGGTTGATAGCACTAAGGAAAAGCTGGAAGAAATTAACATGGCTCTCAAAGAAAACTGTTCTTGAAAAAAACCTCCTTGGAATAGAAATTTACTTTAGAATCCTTTAGAATCAGAAACTGGAAATAATTTATTTGAGGTCACCTTCAAGACTATCTTTAATTTTGTCATTTCATTGAAAAGTAGTTTTCTATTGTCTATGCCAGAAATCTTATTTCTTTTAAGGTTTCCCCCTGTCGGTGATGTAGACTCAAGAGTCATTAGAAGATGGTTGCATAGGGACTGAAAACCTTACATTTTTCTAATGTCAGGAAGGATGTCTCCTTACAGAATACAAACAGCATAATTTTTGCAAAAGCCCTCAATTGTTTTTTAAAATAGGTAATGACTGATCTGCCTCACGTTCAGATGAAAAATGTGCCGGGATCTGGCCAGTTATGCAGGAGAACACCTGGGAACCCTTGTAGATGTGTCTCAGAGGACAAGGGGGACAGGAACTTGTCTCTGCTTCCTCTCTGTTATCCCGCACCTCCGTCCTTTTCGCTGTCATCTTTCTCTCAGGGTGGCTTAGCCTGGAGCTTGTCGAAACAGTTTTGGTGTTTAGGCATTAAGAAAAGATAATTCTTTAAAAAAAATTTTATTTGTTATTTTTGGCAGTGCCGGGTCTTTGTTGCAGTGCACTGGCTTCTCGTTGCAGTGGCTTTTCTTGCAGAGCACAGTCTCTAGGGCACTCAGGCTTCAGTAGTTAGGACACACGGGCTTAGTTACTCCATGGAATGTGGGGATCTTCCTGGATCAGGGCTCAAACCCATGTCCCCTGCACTGGCAGGCAGATTTCTTTACCACTGAGCCACTGGGAAGCCCCTTAGAAAAGATAATTATTTAGGTAAATGTGTGTGCTAAGGAATATCCTGGCAGCTCTAACGTCTAAGGCAGTGTATCAGTTGAGAAACAAGGAAAATGGATTATGGGAAAAGAGGAGAAAGAAATCCTCTTATTCAAAAGCATGCCACTGGTGGTGGTGTCAAATAACGTGTCTCAGCTGGGTAGCATATTGGGCCTAATTTGGGTGCAATCTACTTTGGAGCCAGTTTATTCTCTGATATGAAAGCTTTTATTTTTAAATGCATCTCTTTTCCCCCGATGCTATTGAAGTTTTAGAGAGTCAAGAAGAAAAAAACTCATCCTTCTAACAAAACTACTGTTAAACTTTGCTACAGTTCCAGACAAGTCTTGTTTTCTTCTCTCATTATTTTTGTGTGTCTGGAATTAGAAAATGCGTACGTTTTGTATCCCACTTCTGTGAAATGTCTTTCAGTGAGTCCTTGGAAAGTTGGCTAAAGGGCAAATATTGGATGATACCACAGAGCAGCAGCTAAATTGTCACTCGGGTCTGAAAAGGGACCTTCTGTTGCAGGCTGCTTTTCTCAGTGGGTGACTAGTGTTTGCACAGCATTACTATTAAATAAATGAATGATCTCTAAAATGGTGCTGAGGCTAAGAATGATGGCAGATTTCTGGGGGCGGGGTGGGGGGGGGAATTGTCTGTGCTTTCCAGAAATTGTCTTGATTCGTGGCTAGGATTTAATCAGGTGCTGCCTTCAGGTATACATTCTTATTTTTTTTTCTTCTGTTTCCATTTAAATGAATCCTTTTCTTGTATCAGTTCAACCGCTTGTCATGTCAGACTCTTGACGACCCCATGGACTGCATGGACTTTCTTGTATAGAGAGATATTTTCTATGGCAGAATAATAAGACTATCATCCGTCTTCATTCTGATTGACAAACGTAACAGGCCAGCTGTCTAGGGGGAAAAAATGGAGTCAGCTAAGATAGGAATGGCCTGAATTTTCATCAGAGAGAACTTTTTTGGACAGAATGAATTGATGAGTTCTGTTTTATTTTGCTTGGATCCAGTAAATTCATTCCAATACATTAAAGTCACTTATACTTTTAATATATTCAATAGTGTATTCTATTAGGACAGACTCACTTGAGATTTTCTTTGTGGCTTCTTGTCAAATGAAATTTTGCTGGTTGATGTATTTATTACTTATTTTGTTTACTTGCGTTGGGTCTTAGTTGTCGCATGCAGGATCTTTTGCTGCTGCGCACGGGCTCTCTAGTTGCGCCCATGGGCTTCAGTAGTTGTGGCTCATGAGCTTAGTTGCTCCATGGCATGTGGGATCCCTGTTCTCCAGTCAGGGCTCAAACTCGCATCGTCTGCATTAGAAGGCTGATTCTTAACCACTGAACCACCAGGGAAGTCCCTCGCCAGTTTATTTTGTTAAAGCTAGGGAAAAACTGATGGATATTTCATTTAAAAAGCTACATGCCCAGGAATGTGTATAGGAGAGAAGGACTCATGTAATTTGGGATGCATTCTCTCACTAGTGTCTTTTAGTTCAAATACCATGTGCTAGAAAGGTTAGATGGTCTTTATCATCCCTGTTATTTAATGCTAGCAGACGACTTTTTCCTTCTCTCCTTTGTAAAAATACATCTATTTTAAATAACAATAATAATAGACCAATAGATATATTCTTAGTCATTGGCCTATCTCATCGCTGTTTTGTTCATCACTGTATTTTTAACACCTCCCATAGTACCTACCTGGCAATAGCAGCTATTCAGGATTTGTTGCCCTAGATGTTGGTTATTGTACTGCTCATGGGGTTCTCAGGCCAAGAACACTGGAGTGGTTTGCCACTCTCCCCTCCAGTTGACCGTATCTGGTCAGAACTCTCAGCTGCGGTCCCTCCGTCCCGGGCGGCCCGCACAGCAGGGCGCATAGTCTCACTGAGCTCCACAAGCCTCTTTGCCACACCAAGACTGTGACCCCTAAAGGGCGAAACTCAGCCTTCAGAAAGCTAAGAGCGTGACATCTGGTCCCATCACTTCATGGCGAATAGAAGGGGAAAAATTGGAAACAGTGACAGACTTTATTTTCTTGGGCTCCAGAATCACTGCCGGCAGTGACTGCAGCCAAAGAATTAAAAGACGCTTGCTCCTTGGAAGGAAAGCTATGACAGACACAGACAATGTATTGAAAAGCAAAGACATCATCTTGCTAACAAAGGTCCATGTAGTCAAAACTATGATTTTTCCAGTTGTCATGTACAGATGTGAGAATTGGACCATAAAGAAGGCTGAGTACCGAAGAATTGATGCTTTTGAATTATGGTGCTGGGGAAGACTCTTGAGAGTCCCTTGGACAACAGGGAGATCAAGCCAGTCAATCCTAAAGGAAATCAACCTTAAATATTCATTGGAAGGACTGATGCTGAAGCTCTAATACTTTGGCCACCTGATGCGAGGAGCCAACTCATTGGAAAAGACCCTGATGCTGGGAAAGATTGAAGGCAAAAGGAGAAGAAGGCGGCAGAGGATGAGATGGTTAGATAGTTATCACCGACTCAATGAACATGAGTTTGAGCAAACTCCAGGAGAAAGTGAAGGACAGGGAAGCCTGGCATGCTGCAGTCCACGGGATCACAAAGAGTTGGACCCAACTTAAAGACTGAACAACAGACATTGTTGTTTATTGCTAATTGCAGAATAATAAACTTTATTCTTTTTTTTTTTAATGTGGTAACTTCCCTGGTGGCTCAGTGGCAAAGAATCCACCTGCCAGTGCAGAAGGAGCAGGTTCGATCCCTGGGTCGGGAGTATCTCCTGGAGAAGGAAATGGCAACCCACTCCAGTATTTCTGCCTGTAAAATCCCATTGACAGAGGAACCTGGTGGGCTATAGTCCATGGCGTTGCAGAGATGGTCACAACTTAGCAACTACACAACAGTGGTTTAAATGGAATTGTTTCTTGATTTACACTAAAAGCCAACTTGCCTTTGTAGCTTTAAGGCTCTGTATTAAATTTTCTTGAATATGCGCTCTCAAAGTTTTAGGCTGAATGACTTCTGTGAAATGTTTTTTTCTCTCTAGAATGGAAATAGATTTTAGAAATAGCTCTAGTAATTTTAAATTGTTAAGTAAAATTATTGCTGTTTGCAGTTTTCTGAAGCTAATATCATACGTTCTCACAGAGTGCTGTGGATAATATAGTGAAAAGCATAGGAGATTTAGTAATTAGTATAAATTTAAATATTCTAAAATTTATTGGGAAAAAACTGATAGTGGAAGACAAAGTGGTGACTAATTTCAGTAATTGATACTTAAATATAATTTCTCATTGTTAAAAGTGTAAGTGAGTATTAAAACTATATAAAGAGAAACATCCTAAATTATTCTGTTTCTTTTTTATTTCAGGGCTGAAAACAGTGAAGTCACATTTCATTGTTTAAAGACTATTTAGAAGACAAGATGGGGACTCCTGGTTCTGGAAGGAAAAGGACACCTGTGAAAGACCGATTTTCTGCAGAAGATGAAGCTTTGAGTAGCATTGCCAGAGAGGTATGTCTAGAAAACCTCTCTCACCACTGAGTTGTATAAAAGAGAATGTTGTAAAGATGCTGGGGTAACAAATACAGAGATTCATTCATTGAGCTAGTTTCAGAATGTTTACTGTGAATTAGATGTTAAATACAGCCTCCAAAATATTGTATTAGAATAAAATGCAGTTACTGTCTCTTTACTTGGGTATTTATTCAAGTTATCTAAAATTAATTTTTCATTTTATTTTTGTGGTTTAGTTGACCTCCAGGGACTTGTCCTAATGTTTTGAAATTTATAATTAATATTTGTTATTGAAGCTTAAGGTAATTAGAATGTTGAGGATATGATAGCTCTATTATAGAAATGCTCATTTGGGCTCTACAGTTAATATATTCCAGGAAGCACTGTATAATTGTTGACAGAAACAGTCCTTATTTGGTGTCTGCTCAGATTCAGCATCTTAGCAGTTTTTGAAATAACTGCAGTGGAATTTTTGTGTTTAACTTTTAGCTAGTAATAGAGCTTCTGGAGCATTTTTGTTTTGATTTGTTGACAACTCAGAAAAAAGGACAAAAAGGAAAGGAGTGTCACCTATTAGATCTCTGGCAGCATTTCCTGTTGCATATTGGACATTTCAGATAACTCCCAGCTGTGATTTCTTAGTGAGGAGCCAACTTTGTTTCAAACTCTGTCTGCAGTTGCAGACCTGACTATATACTAACCTGGTAGAAGAAGCACTTAGAGCATTTTCAGATTGTATTCTTTGGGTGCGAATTGTTCCCTCATCACTTCCTCTTTGTTATTCTTAGTAAATAACTCATGTAAAACTAGTGCTATTTCCTTTTGACATATCACACAGTGTTATTTTGGATTTAGCTCATTGTTAGATTTTTCTTTTTGTAAGCTACTCAGCTTTTGAATTGAAAGTCAAATTTTGTAGGAGGATATTTGAGGCAGAGGAAGTTCTCTAAAATCTGATGACAAAATTGTGATAATACCTTAACAAAGTTGTTTTTAAAAATTGTGATAGTTTTAGATGAAAAGGAGAAAGATATTTTAAAATGAAGCATTGGCTAACACTTTACAGTGATCTTAAGAATTTACCTGAATGAAGTATTTTGGAAGCCACATATTTAGTTGAAAATTGAAACTCCTCAGAATGTTTGATCCCAAACTTGGAGGGATTTACATACCCAGGTTTCTATAAGGGGAGGAAATCCCAGTATGTTTTAGGCTCTTTTTGTGCTGTCCCTAGGTATTTTAACATTTTTTGGATATGATGCTTCATTTTCAAAATGGGGTATCATTCAAGCATCTAACCCTTGAGTGCTTACTATGTGACAAATACTTTTCTAAGCATTTAAAATGAACTTTATTTTGGGGGGCTCTAAAATCACTGTAGGTGGTGACTGCAGCCATAAAATTAAAAGACGCTTACTCCTTGGAAGGAAAGTTATGACCAACCTAGACAGCATATTCAAAAGCAGAGACATTACTTTGCCAACAAAGGTCCATCTAGTCAAGGCTGTGGTGTTTCCAGTGGTCATGTATGGATGTGAGAGTTGGACTATAAAGAAAGCTGAGTGCTGAAGAATTGATGCTTCTGAACTGTGGTGTTGGAGAAGACTCTTGAGAGTCCCTTGGACTGCAAGGAGATCCAACCAGTCCATCCTAAAGGAAATCAGTCCTGAATATTCATTGGAAGGACTGATGCTGAAGCTGAAACTCCAATACTTTGGCCACCTGATGCGAAGAACTGACTCATTTGAAAAGACCCTGATGCTGGGAGGGATTGGGGGCAGGAGGAGAAGGGGACGACAGAGGATGAGATGGCTGGATGGCATCACCAATTCAATGGACATGGGTTTGGTGACTCCAGCAGTTGATGATGGACAGGGAGGCCTGGTGTGCTGTGGTTCATGGGGTCACAAAGAGTCGGACACAACTGAGCGACTGAACTGAACTGATTCCTAGTTTTCATGTCTGTCTTCTGAGCTCTGAATGTGAATATTCCAACTCTAATGATCTGGTCAGCTTAAACTTGAAACTTAAAAGACTAGTTTTTTCTTTTAAGATTCAAGATTTTATTTGCAAGAATGAGTGCCTAATGTATGATGCAGTTGTTGTGAAACTTTAGAGGAAATAGGTTTAGCAGTCTTAATAATTCTTTCATATATCCTTTGTGATTCTTTTTTTCTCTTTCAAGTTTTCATAGCCTGTTCTCTATTGTCCACTCGTATGTTGGACAGTGGGCATTCATAGATAGTCCCCAATCTTTATTTTCTCTGATAGGATCATCCTTTCACACACACAGAAGTGCCTTGGGTTAGGAATTAAAACTAACAGAACCCTTGTAACAACTAAAAATGACAAATAGCTTAATCTTTTTTTTAAAGTTTAATCTTACGAGTTTAATTTGTCTTTCCTCATTTCAAATTGCTTTTTGAAGTAGATAGGGCATGCAATAAATAAACAAAAATAGCTTCTTTTTCCTCCTGCTTACTTTCTTTCAAGTTTCCATGCTTCTCAGTTGGCACCAAATCAGACTAGAGGGAAGGAGGAGAAAAGGGAAAAGAGGCATGATGGTGTTCTGCACACTGAATAATTTGTGTGCTAACATGTGGAGCTGAGTGCATTTGAAAATTGTTATAAAATACTCATAATATTGACCACTGTAACCATTTTTAAGTGTGCAGTTCTGTGGGTTTAAGTACAGTCACATGTGCAACCGTCATCACCATCTATCTCTAGGATTCTTCTTATCTTGTAAAACCTGTATGGATCTTTGGAAATGTTGCAATGTTTGGAGACTGCTCTGTGAAGGAGGAGTCCTGCCGTGCTGTGGTAGGTGAGTTGCTGCTCTCTCAGGAGGGCATATCTGTCACGGCGCTCGCTCGTGAGAGCAGGTGTTGGGGGAGGTCCCAGCAGGTTCTCCGGGCTATCAGAAGGCCCATCTGGATGCTTATTACCTTTCTTGCTCCTGTGACTTTGATTGTCCCACAGGTTTGGGGAAAATGCTGTTGGAGAGTTGACTGTCAGTGAAAATTACCTAAAAGCACAGAGTGTATCAACTTGGGCACCCTTAGGCAGCTAGCATCTGAAAGGGAGAAGGACGGGGAAGGATGAAAGCCAGTTATGCCGCCTCACCACAGTCAGTTTCGTGAGTGTCACGGTGAGTGTTTCTATGAAAAGTAGAAGGGTCTTGAAGGGTCTGCAGGCAGTCTGATTACGGCGTCACTGAAGCCTGGAATAGTACTCCTTTCCTTGTTGTAGAGCCAAAATGATGAAGAAAACATGTTTTCTGCACTTCCCTTCAAATGAAACTCATCAGAATGTTGCTTATTTTTGAACCTGATGATCAGAATGTCTTTCCAGTTCTAAAATTCTGTGATTTCTTTTGAGATTCAGGATCCCCCTCAAAATTCATACTCATCTTGCACAATTCTCTTAAATCTAAGGAGTCATTGACGGCGACTTCTCTGGTGGTCCAATGGCTAAGACTCTGCACTCCCAATGAGGGGGCCTGGGTTCCATCCCTGGTCAGGGAACTAGATCCCATATGTCACAACTAAGTGTTCACATGTGCTGCAACTTGAAAGATCCTACAAGCACAACAAAGATCAGCGATTCCCTCATGCCACAACTGAAACCCGACACAGCCAAATAAATAAATAAGTAAACAAACAGAATCAATGACAAGCATAGATACTGATCTTTTATAGGAGTTCAGTTCAGTCGCTCAGTCGTGTCCAACTCTTTGTGACCCCATGAATCACAGCACGCCAGGCCTCCCTGTCCATCACCAGCTCCCAGAGTTTACTCAAACTCATGTTCATAGAGTCGGTGATGCCATCAAGCCATCTCATCCTCTGTCGTCCCCTTCTCCTCCTGCCCCCAATCCCTCCCAGCATCAGGGTCTTTTCAAATGAGTCAGCTCTTCGCATCAGGTGGCCAAAGGATTGGAGTTTCAGCTTCAACATCAGTCCTTCCAATGAACACCCAGGACTGATCTCCTTTAGGATGGACTGGTTGGATCTCCTTGCAGTCCAAGGGACTCTCAAGAGTCTTCTCCAACACCACAGTTCAGAAGCATCAATTCTTCAGTGCTCAGCTTTCATTATAGTCCAACTCTTAACATCCATACATGACCACTGGAAACACCACAGCCTTGACTAGACAGACCTTTGTTGGAAAAGTTATGTCTCTGCTTTTGAATATGCTGTCTAGGTTGGTCATAACTTTCCTTCCAAGGAGTAAGCGTCTTTTAACTTCATGGCTGCAATCACCATCTGCAGTGATTTTGGAGGCCAGAAAAATAAAGTCAGCCACTGTTTCCACTGTTTCCCCATCTATTTGCCATGAAGTGATGGGACCAGATGCCATGATCTTAGTTTTCTGAATGTTGAGCTTTAAGCCAGCTTTTTCACTCTCCTCTTTCACTTTCATCAAGAGGTTTTTTAGTTCCTCTTCACTTTCTGCCATAAGGGTTAGAGTCTAGCAAATGAAATGTGTGGAGACTGTCATGTTGAGCAGAGTTTGCATGTAAAACATATTCTGTGTGCACACCTGTTGGTAATAGTAAGGACAAAAGGAAACTCTATGGCTATTTAGCATTTGTCACTGCTAGAACTTTCAGATTTCATTTTTTTTTTAACACTAGCTTTATTGAGATATAATTCACATAACATGTAATTCACTCCTCTGAAGCACACCATTCAATGGTTTTTGCATGACTAATTTTTAAGCTGTGGTCAAAATATGTGTAACCATCACCACTGTCTATTTCCAGCACCTTTTCATCCCCAGACAGAAGTCCGTAGCCATCACGCAGCGCCGTCTCGGCCCTCGCTCAGCCCCTGGCAGCCTCTGACTTACTGCGTGTCCCTGTGGACTTGTCTGGGTCCAGATGCTCCATGTAATGGGAATCATACAGTAGTTGTCCTCTTGTTTCTGGCTTGATGCCTTAGCACAATGTCTCCAAGATTCATCCATGTTGTAGCAAGTGTCAGAACTTCATT